GTAAAAAAAATCCCGCGGATCCCGTATGTGTAGTCCCTCATTTATGATCCCCGCCTTGGCGAGATTGGATTCCCTAGTCCTGACATATGCCTATATGTGCACATATGTATGTATGATACCATCAAAGTATCGATACCAACTTACATGAGTTTACTCAAATCGCAATTTCGATACTACTTATATGAGTAAACCGATTGTATCGTTACCTACTTATATGAATAATTTTTCATCCTTTTATATGCACCAAAGCGAAAGTAATTTTCAGGCGTTATCTGTGACATACCTTTTACGACACTTGATGGAAGGTCGACCTATCTCGGCAGCCAGTGCGAAAACGCCCTATCTCAGAAAACTTTTCAAAAGCGCCCTATTTCAGAAATTTTATTGAAAAACGCCCTATCTAAAAAAACTTTTTAAGAACACCCTATTTTAGAATTCGGTTCAAAATACCCTATCTGAAATATTTTCATTTGAGATAGTGCGTTTATGAACCAAATTCTGAAATAGGACTTTCTTGAAGAGTTTTCTAACATAGGGCATTTTCGAACTGGCTGCCGAGATAGCTCGATCTTCCGCTCAGGTGTCAATATACATATATATTTGTTCATTAGTAACGGTAGAGGTAATACGACTCCTTAGACAAAAAATCCAACCTTTGAAAGGTTCCCACAAAACTTGACGGCTTGAAAGCATTGCTTGCATTTTACTGGTGTATCACTAACTTTGAAAAAATATATCCACACCTTAGATTTTTGCGATGCCATTGCTTAAAGCAATTATTTTTCATAAAAACGACGCTGTGCAAAGTTTCTTCCACAGAAAAAATATGGCCGACAAGATATGGCACTTGCTCAAATCGATTCGATACAAGTGCTCTTCTTTCGATACCAAGTAGGTATCGAAACAAAGTTTCGAGTAAAAAAGTAGTTGGAATCGAAACAAAAGTACCAAGTTCATACTCGTATTTACTAGTATCGGAACATCCCTACCTAACTACATGTAAATATTAATGTACGTTTTATGAAAAATTGTTAAGTCATGAATTCAAAAGTAAGGAATGAAAATAAGCACGGGTTCGCCACCTTGGAAAAAATATTGTTTTTATTCTTCTTTGAATGTCAACGCCCGACTAAAATCTTTTAACAGCCATTCCTGATTGAAAAATTCGTTTTCCCTTTTTGCCAAACCATAACGAAGGATCGAAAAGAAAGCCATATCGATTGGCAGACGAACAACAACGCCAACCGTAATGAAATCGCTATAATCGCTATTTGCGAAGACAGTCAATTGTTTCGGATAGTGACTTTTTCATGTTCGGTAAACGTTAGTAAAGTTTGTCGTCACCAATAAAAAGCAACGAAAGCTATAGAAGTTTATTGTGATTACCTCGGGCAGAGTCCGATTTTAATGCTTTAATACAAAAGTTCTTGTGAGTTTCTGTTTCGTCCAACAGTCTTGTTTTCATTTCTCTGTCTAATAGTCCACTATTTAAATCGTTGATATTCATATTTTTCTAGTTTTTTGAAGAATTTATAAAAGAATTTGCAAAATAAAAATGATTACACAGGCCAACCAAATTTAAACAATGTTATGTTGAACAAATTTATTACAGCCGATTCTTATAGGATTTTTAGCGTAGAAAATTATGGTTAAACGGTTTACGGTCTTCATCCATATACTGCAGAAATTCCTTTACCAATCTTTGAAGTACAACTCGAGATTTCATGGATTAATCACCAAATACTGATGGACACTGACTATAGCAGTGGAAATGAAGATGAAGAATACACCTTTAAACCCAAGTCAATTTAAAATTTTCAAGATCAGATTCTGGCTCTACGGGACAAATCTTATAACGATCAGCTGTAATATTTTAGCCAACATACATGTTGATACATTTTAATGGCCTATGTTATGTTCTCTTATATGAAGGTTTGAGCTTCAATTTCAGCGTCTTAAGAAATATCCAGCGCCTCAGGTTCATTTATCGCAAGTGATCAAAAGCAGGCAAAACAAGAGTTAAAAAAAGAGTCGTGCACACTCATATAAAAAACTGTTTCCAATTGTGTTCGGACCAAATTTTTTTGATTTTGAGTATTAAAGGGTAGTGTTTAGGCTTTCATACCCAGCCAGCAAGAAAACATACATTTTAAGATCGTTTTTACGAGGGATTCTCGATCGGCGAAAAGTTAGAGAAAGGCTCGTAAACGATAAAACAAAAAATGTAATAGAAAGAGGCTTGTAGTAATTTGTCACATACAATATTTTACAATATATAACAGACCGAGGCCGAAAAGAGCCACATGTAAATTCTAAATGCAACAAAGAGCCACAAAAAAAAAATATTATTAGAAATGAAAAACCTTAATTTTATTATTATACTAATGTACGTAAGGTAGATATTAAAAAAATTCAAAAGATCTTTGGCCTAATTATCAAAACCTGGTTTTTCGTCAGTTAAAGCCGTTTGTAACAGTTCTGTTAAATGTTGGTTAGTCAATAGGTACGTTCGTTTAAAATCTCCAGTAAAAAATGTCCAACAGCAAAATTCCGGCAAAATGTCATCTGTTCTCTCACAAGTAAAAAATATCCAAAATAGTACGCGAACATAAAATTTGCAGAAACTTGCAAGTTAGACGAACAGCTTTTGAAATTTTGTTTACATTCACACACTGTTCCTGAATTAGTTAAAAGTTCACTGAAACGTACGACGAAAATTGAAAATGCAACTTTGTTCGTTATCACCTACGTAACCGAAATCCATTTTCACTAAAATCGTATCACCTTATTTTTGCGAAATATTGACATTCAGGAATTGCAAAATTATAAAAATTTCACAACAAACTTTTGTTCTCATATTTTTTTTTATTCGTGGGATATAATTAAGAAAACAGTTATAAGTAACTATCTGAACAGCCCTTGGCTCGTTACCACATAATTCTTTTGCAGAAAAATCGTTAATATTTTATTTCTTGTTTTGATTTATTTTCAATAAATATTGTTAGCGTTTCAATACGTTCTCATTTAATAAGTAATTGTATAATACATTCCGGGACTGAAAGTGTGGTAGGCAAGTTGAGTTTTATTTACAAATATATAATACACCATGTCGTATTACCTAAGTCATGAAGAAAACAGAAAATAAGTATATGCACCATGTGGAAGAAAAATACTGTTTGGAAAAAAGTAAGTCGAATTTTTTAAACCTGCAATAAAATGAATAAAACAAAATAAGTAAAGCTTTCGTTAAAACTACTAAAAGCCAAATAGTGAAAGAAAGCTCTAATGAAAGCTTAACTTATTATATTTTATTCATTTTGGTGCAGTTTTAACAAAATTTTCTTGCTAAAAAATCTTTTGTTACACTATTTTACTTTATTCATTTGATTATACATACATGTTAAATAAAAGTTTCTTAAAAAAAAATATTTTTTTTTTGATTATTTTATTTAACGTTTTTTATTACTTTTGAAAGTTGAGCGCATCTTGTGTTAAAAGAACTTTTTATTAAACAAGTAATTTTTAAGCAAAAAACACATCCGACTTCAATTCCCATATACAAATTAGAGGTGTGTAACTTGTTTCCCTGGGTCTGGTATGATACGTCGAAATTTAAATTGTCGAAACTAAAAACCCCGAAAAAAAATGTCGAAAAAAAATTTTTAGAAAATCAAGAATGTCGAGAAAAAAATTGTCGAAAGGAAAAATGTCGAAAATAAAAATGTCGAAAAAAAATATCGAAATAATGTAATGAATGATGTGTAAAATTCGCGCGAATTTTACACATCATTCATTACATTATTTCAACAGGTTGATTTATTTAAGTTAAATTCCACTAATCCTATGTACTAATATAATAAATGTGAAATTTTGTGAGTGAGTATGTTTGTTGCTCGCTCACGCTAAAACGTCTGGATATATTTCAATTAAATTTGGAATATAGATATAATATACTAACATATAAAATATTTTTTGGAGTTGCCACCTCTTTCAAAAAAAACCCGATTAATTAACAAGTTTAACAAAATATTAGCAAGCGAAAGCGGTTCAGAAACTATATATTTCGGAAGTATTTTGTAATAGGGTTGCCGCCTGTTAAAAAAGTTTAAATCAATTCTTTGAAAAAGTTTAAACGAAATATTTTAATGTGGGTATCAAACGAGAATGCTTTATTGTAGAAATATTTTAAGAGAGTTGCCATCTTTTCAAAAAGTTAAAATCAATTTAAATAACACGTTAAAATTTTTTTTTCTGCGTAATTTTGTAGAACTTTCTTTTTCCATCTTAGGAACTCTAGAACATTTGAAAATCTACTTAGAACACTTTTAATTTTTATTTTTTTCACACATTCGACTTTTTCGACTTTTTTTCGACAATTTACGCGTTTTGCATTTTTTTCGAATTATTCATTTCGAAAGCATACGATTTCGACATTTTGCGTTTCGGTTAAACATTATTTCGAGATTTAAAAAATTTTTAAATTTCGACATTTCTCTTCCGACATTTTTATTTTCGACTTATCGTACGGATCCCGTTTTAAATTTCGACATTTCTCTTTCGACATTTTTATTTTCGACTTATCGTACGGATCCCGTTTTAAATTTCGACATTTCTCTTTCGACATTTTTATTTTCGACTTATCGTACGGATCCCGTTTTAAATTTCGACATTTCTCTTTCGACATTTTTATTTTCGACTTATCGTACGGATCCCGTTTCCCATAAGTGAATCGGTAACTCAGACTGCCTGTCAAAAAAAAATGTAACTTAGTAATTCAGTTGATGCCCTAGGGCTCACATGATTCAATTGAATCATAGTGGCTCATATAACTCTCTCACTCCATATAACTCTCTCACTTCGCCACAGTGTTTAGCATGACAAAGTCTTGCATTGTGTTTTTGCACGAAGCGAATTTATACAAGGTGGTGACAAGAATACAACAACAACAACCACATGTATTTTGTATTGCGGGTGTTATGTGAAATCTCAAAAATTCTTATAATTTCGTTTTTTTTTAGTTTTTCTCGAAATATGTATGTATGTATGTAAGATATATAAAGGTGTGCATATCAAATCAATTGCCTTTCCAACCATATCCACANGAAATATGTATGTATGTATGTAAGTTATATAAAGGTGTGCATATCAAATCAATTGCCTTTCCAACCATATCCACATTTTGAAATTCGGTACAATAGTTTTCGAAATATAAGATTTTGAAAATATTGAAAATGACACCTTTACCCTCCCCCTAGCACCGCCCCTATTAAGTTGCACAAACAAAAATTTACACCTTTCAAATCAGTAGAAAGGAGCTGACCACGCCCACTTTAAAGTTTTGTTTTATCTCAACGGCCGCTGTACCGCATTTATGCCTCAAACGGGTCTACGATACGAATGAGTGTAACATACAAAGAGTCAAATGAGTTAGTTGAATGAGCTGACTCCATAAAGTAAGGTTGGAGTCATTGAGTCAACTCCTATAAATTTGCTGAGTTACCCACCCTTAATACAAATTTAAGAGTACCGTTAATTCTTTCATGATCCAATGATCGGATATAAACCAAATTACGGGACGACCCGCGAGGTGCCATCTTTCCGATCAAAAAAGAATTATAGAAATCAGTTCACGTGGTCAAAAAAAAAGCCTACGAATTGATAACCCCTCGCTTTTTTGAAGTCGGTTAAAAATGTTTGAGTTCTTTGTTAATTTTATATAAATAAAGTGCAATTTATGAAACTTTAAAAATTGTATTTATTTATTGCATACTGTACATAAAACTTGCATAAACGTATTTTAAGAGCATGTTATGCGAATTTTCAGCATTTTCTGGGGATATATCTATAGAAGTATAAACTCCTCCCCAAATATATTCCTGGGTGCGCCCCTGAGATCAAAGCATTTTCCAATCAATTGAACAAATTCGACTTTCTTTTTTCCCAACAGTATTTTTCTTCCACATCGTGTAGATACTTTTTTTCTGTTTTCTTTATGACTTAGGTAATACGACATGGGGTATTGTATATTTGCAAATAAAACTCATCTTGCCTACACACACTTTCAGTACCGGATTGTATTACACAATTACTTATTAANATTTTGAAAATATTGAAAATGACACCTTTACCCTCCCCCTAGCACCGCCCCTATTAAGTTGCACAAACAAAAATTTACACCTTTCAAATCAGTAGAAAGGAGCTGACCACGCCCACTTTAAAGTTTTGTTTTATCTCAACGGCCGCTGTACCGCATTTATGCCTCAAACGGGTCTACGATACGAATGAGTGTAACATACAAAGAGTCAAATGAGTTAGTTGAATGAGCTGACTCCATAAAGTAAGGTTGGAGTCATTGAGTCAACTCCTATAAATTTGCTGAGTTACCCACCCTTAATACAAATTTAAGAGTACCGTTAATTCTTTCATGATCCAATGATCGGATATAAACCAAATTACGGGACGACCCGCGAGGTGCCATCTTTCCGATCAAAAAAGAATTATAGAAATCAGTTCACGTGGTCAAAAAAAAAGCCTACGAATTGATAACCCCTCGCTTTTTTGAAGTCGGTTAAAAATGTTTGAGTTCTTTGTTAATTTTATATAAATAAAGTGCAATTTATGAAACTTTAAAAATTGTATTTATTTATTGCATACTGTACATAAAACTTGCATAAACGTATTTTAAGAGCATGTTATGCGAATTTTCAGCATTTTCTGGGGATATATCTATAGAAGTATAAACTCCTCCCCAAATATATTCCTGGGTGCGCCCCTGAGATCAAAGCATTTTCCAATCAATTGAACAAATTCGACTTTCTTTTTTCCCAACAGTATTTTTCTTCCACATCGTGTAGATACTTTTTTTCTGTTTTCTTTATGACTTAGGTAATACGACATGGGGTATTGTATATTTGCAAATAAAACTCATCTTGCCTACACACACTTTCAGTACCGGATTGTATTACACAATTACTTATTAAATCAGAACGTATTGAAACACTAACAATATTTATTAAAAATAAATTAAAACAAGAAATACATTATTAACGATTTCTCTGCAAAAGAATTAAAAGATTAAAGTTAAAGAGCCAAGTGCTGTTCAGATAGTTACTTATAACTGTTATCTTAATTATACCCAACGAATTAAAAAAAAATATGAGAACAAAAATTTGTTGTGAAATTTTTATAATTTCGCAATTCTTTCGCAAAAAAAGGCTGATACGATTTTGGTGAAATTGGATTTTGGTTACGTAGGTGATAACGAGCAAAGTAGCATTTTAAATTTTTGTCGTACGTTTTAGTGAACTATTAACTAATTCAGGAACAGTGTGTTCAAAAGTATAAANGCCTCAAACGGGTCTACGATACGAATGAGTGTAACATACAAAGAGTCAAATGAGTTAGTTGAATGAGCTGACTCCATAAAGTAAGGTTGGAGTCATTGAGTCAACTCCTATAAATTTGCTGAGTTACCCACCCTTAATACAAATTTAAGAGTACCGTTAATTCTTTCATGATCCAATGATCGGATATAAACCAAATTACGGGACGACCCGCGAGGTGCCATCTTTCCGATCAAAAAAGAATTATAGAAATCAGTTCACGTGGTCAAAAAAAAAGCCTACGAATTGATAACCCCTCGCTTTTTTGAAGTCGGTTAAAAATGTTTGAGTTCTTTGTTAATTTTATATAAATAAAGTGCAATTTATGAAACTTTAAAAATTGTATTTATTTATTGCATACTGTACATAAAACTTGCATAAACGTATTTTAAGAGCATGTTATGCGAATTTTCAGCATTTTCTGGGGATATATCTATAGAAGTATAAACTCCTCCCCAAATATATTCCTGGGTGCGCCCCTGAGATCAAAGCATTTTCCAATCAATTGAACAAATTCGACTTTCTTTTTTCCCAACAGTATTTTTCTTCCACATCGTGTAGATACTTTTTTTCTGTTTTCTTTATGACTTAGGTAATACGACATGGGGTATTGTATATTTGCAAATAAAACTCATCTTGCCTACACACACTTTCAGTACCGGATTGTATTACACAATTACTTATTAAATCAGAACGTATTGAAACACTAACAATATTTATTAAAAATAAATTAAAACAAGAAATACATTATTAACGATTTCTCTGCAAAAGAATTAAAAGATTAAAGTTAAAGAGCCAAGTGCTGTTCAGATAGTTACTTATAACTGTTATCTTAATTATACCCAACGAATTAAAAAAAAATATGAGAACAAAAATTTGTTGTGAAATTTTTATAATTTCGCAATTCTTTCGCAAAAAAAGGCTGATACGATTTTGGTGAAATTGGATTTTTGTTACGTAGGTGATAACGAGCAAAGTAGCATTTTAAATTTTTGTCGTTCGTTTTATTGAACTATTAACTAATTCAGGAACAGTGTGTTCAAAAGTATAAAATTGACAACGTAAGAAAACAAATCTGTGCCTTATTCTGACACAGTTCACTGACTAAACGAATAATTAATTACTTCTTACAAGTTTTACTATTTTAACTTCCAAACCATCAAATTCAATTTAGGAGTTTGCGTAGATTCCAACCAGGTGTTTTTGATCTTGTTGCTGTTTTCTTGTTGGCAAATTTCTATTGGCAAACAAATTTCCAGCAGAAACTAGCAGCTTCCCCTAAAAATGAAATGTCACTTTTTTTCTTTCAATTTCTCCTACATTGCAAGTTTTTTGCGTACGCGAACGCAACTAATTGTGAACGGTATTTTGACTTGACGAATTTCATTGAAGAGTATAAAGACTGACAGTTATAGGTTGTACCAAAAATTGAAAATATACGGCACGCAGGTGTTTTCAACAGTGGATATTTTATATCTGGTCCTTGTTGCCGGAATTCAAGCAATGGCAAAGCTTTATGTTGCATTTCCAGTGCCTTATCGTCTTTTAATTCCAAAAACTCCAACTTTTCTTAAAAAGGAGTATTTCGGATATTGTAAATCCATCCTCAATTATGTTACATAAAAAAGGGTTTATGAAGTATGCAAACGTACATTTAAATAATTTCAAATCGGCAAATCTTTTTTCAAAATCTGCTTTTAAATCAAGTGCAATATTTTTTTGTAGCCATGGAAAATGTTCATATATTCAAAATATTTCATATATTCTTTTTTGAGATCATGAATNAGTGCAATATTTTTTTCTAGCCATGGAAAATGTTCATATATTCAAAATATTTCATATATTCTTTTTTGAGATCATGAATAAAAAAGCGTAGTTTAGGTTCAAAACTTAAAATAATTTGCGACAAATCAAAAACATTTTTATTCTCTCCTTGTAGAGACAATTTCAAGTTTTGCAAATGTTCCATCATATCGGTAAATTACATTAAGTCAGAAAGCCAATTTTCATTATCCATTTGCGGGTAATGTTCGATCTCAATTTTCGTATGTGTATATAAAAAGGATAAAATAAAAAACAACACAATGGAAAAGAATATCCAGCAAAGAAATGTGTATTTTAAAAAGTAAAAAGAGCCAAAATGTTCTAACCAAAAAGAAGATAAAAAGAGCCGCACTTTGTTAAGCAAAGATTCGCATTTGGCTCAAAGAGCCGCGATTGCCCACCGTTGATATATAATATTCGCATCCGAATGCTTTTTCGGTCCGTTTACGACTGTTCGCAGGCGCCCAATAATTTCAAGTGAAAAGGTACTCGAAAATGAATCGTAAACGGCTATAATGAATGGCTTTTTAGCCGGTTTTTCTTCGAGAAAATATCTAGTTACGAGCTCGTTTACGATGATTTTTCTGGCTGGGTATCCTCACATACAGACAGATATATTGTATCAATTTATTGTTTTACAGAGGTTCGAAAATGTCGAAAAACGCGTTATTCGGCACCTTTAAACCTAAATTGTTAGAAAACTTAAGCCAATCTAATATCTTTACGGACAGATTCGGATTCTACGGGAAAAATCCTATAAGAATCGCCTACAATATTTTATGCAGCAGAATTTTGTTGGACAGTGTTATTCATGCGTTCAACAATTTCGCGGTTTTCTTCGTTTCGCTTCATTATTTACTTCTTAGCTTTGTCAGAAACAAACATGACGTCGAGATTTCGACAGCCAAAAAATAACTTCTTTCTTTCTTTCCTTCTTACGTGATCTTGTGTCTTTCGTTTACCCTACGCTATCAATATCTCCAACCCTCAATAGATGTGAGCAGGGTTACTCAGATTTCAA